CGCCATCCCTCATTATATGTGCTGCTGTACGGGTCGAGGCGCCGATCATTGGCGATGAAGTCCAACTGCTCTTGGGGAGTGGTAGACTCCCTCATAGCCTGGCAGTCCTCTACTAGGTGATTGGAGCTCTCACACCACTGACATTGAGCTACTGGAGGTGTAGCCAAACCTCTGCCCGGAATAAGACTGTTGGGCTGCTTCAATGTCTGCACTAGCTCAGCTACCTGCTGCTCGAGCCCGGATCTGGTCTCCATGGTGTGCACACCACGGTCCCGGGACTGTCTGCCTCGGCTACCCTGTCCCCAAGAATGATCTCTGGCAGCCAAAGTACTGATCATCTGGTTCAGCTTGGGTGGAGTCTTAGTAAGAATATCCCCTCCTAGGCATAGAGACTCAATCACCCTCTGGCTATCTGGAGAGAGGGCACTGTAGAAGTTCCCCACTGTGAATGCATCACTGAAGCCATGATGGGGACACTGCCAGAAATAGCCCATGTACCGCTCCCAAGCATCACGAAGTGACTCATCTGGCTCTTGGCGGAAGTGAGTGATCTCCCGCTGGATCTCTGTAGTCTTCGATGCCGGATAGTACCTGTGCACGAATTTGTCAGCCAGATCATCCCAAGAGGTGATGGACAATGGGGGCTAGGTCTCCAACCACCTCTTAGCATTCCCCGCCAAAGAATGGGGGAAGAGATGAAGGCGGATTGCATCATCAGGGACACCATTCAGCTTGAACCCGTTCGTCTGCTGTAGAAAACGGGAAAGATGCACCCTGGCCTCCTCATCCTTCAAGCCATGGAACTGGATAGAGGATGTAATGAGCTGAATCCAGCATGGCTTGATCTCGAAGTTATTTGCTGGAATAGGCAGGTAGAGGATGACCGGGCGGATGTCAGCAATCCGTGGAGTGTAGTAGTACTCCAATGTGGGACCCGGTGGCGGGTGCTGATGATGAACCCCATGATCCTGGAGTATGGGGTTGTTGCCCAGGACCTGATTCACCGGGGGAGCCTGCTGAGGATTCCCCTGGTGTTGATTGTAGTCTCCGTCCATCCCGTACTCTTCTTCAGAATCGCTACTCAGGTGGCCGTCTACGCGCTCTTCCGTAGCCAGTCTAGCTCGCTGTTGTCTCCTGAGTTGGCGACAGGTGCGTTCAATCTCTGGATTCAACGGCAGTAAACCTCCCGACTGGCTACGGGTCATGCACTACCTGCACACACTCAAGCAAGCAAACTCGTGAAGGCACAAGTGGGACAAAGCAAACAAAGCGAAAAGAAAAGGCTAAATTAACAGAAATCACTTTTCTTCAACAACCTAGCCGTCCCCGGCAACGGCGCCAAAAACTTGACTCACTTCTACTGTCACTCCAAGAATTGGCCAAGTGAAACCACTTCCTAAAGCGTAGTATAGCGGGTTAGGTTTATATGTCAACCCGGGTCCTAGATTGATGACTACTCAGTGAATTCTTGTTATCTAGCAATGAAACTGGAATGCAAGTCTAAACTAACAAACTAACAAAGCAAGTAAACGGTTGTATTCAGGTTAAGAGAGGTCACCCGGATATGGTTCCCCCCTAGACTGCAGTTAAGCCGGATTGTAATTACCAAGTTCAGTTTCTATGAAAGCTATACTGCGGAAGGTTCTTAAACAGCCTGAAGTCTCGACTAAAGGTCTTCAGACCCTCTCAATCTGAGTCTCTAGCGGGCGACTAACCTCCACCGGAGTAAACAGAATGAGGCCCTAAGAACAAAACCTCCACTACCGGAGTAAACCGGTACAGAATAGTGAGTTGGCTCATCGACTAAAGTCACCAACTCCCTACCTTCAATCAAGGATGCTCTATCAACCTAGGCAGATATTCTCATTCTAGGTTAAAGCAGAAACAACAGGAATTTGATCAGGATTCAAGTCATTCAATCATTCAAACCTCAATCGAATATAATCAATTCATAGAATCAGTACTTGGGTTCATACAATCAAAGCCTAACATACAAATCTAGGATTCTCCATACCCAGATGAATGAGAGAACTACTCCATGGAGAAAGAGGCAAAAGCAGAATCAGACGCGGAATTCATACTGTGAAGGATGGATTCCTGCTCCTGGACGTTGATCGGCACTTCTCCAAGCTCAAACTGGCCTCCAATGGTGTTGAAGATCAAGCTAGGGCACTTGGAGACTCTTGTTCGTCGCTTTCTCTCTCTAGGAACTGATCTCTCTCTCTCAAACTCGAATCCCCTTCTCTTTGGCTGAAAATCTGCTTAAAAAGGCATCAGTGGCCAAAGCACGGTCGAGGGCACGGCCGTGCTTTGCCTCAGCCCGCCCGTGCTTTGGCTAGTGTTAATTACACGGCCAGTGCATTGGGGGAAACACGGCCGTGTTTGGTAGTGGGCACGGCCGTGCTTTGGGTGGACACGGCCGTGCTTTGTGCCCGTGTTTTGGCTTGATTTTGCCAACTCGAATTAGCTCTCGGCAGTAAAAGCACGGGCACAGAACACGGCCGTGTAATGCTTTAGGTGTGCCCGTGTTTTGGCCCCAGCTCGACGAAATGACTTCCGAATGCCCCGAAACTCGTGCTTAGCCTTCCCTTTGACGCCTGGGACCTGAAATATGAAAAAATAGCACAACCCGGCGTAAAATAGGCCAAAAGTACACGACTATGCCCCTCAAACGGATAAGAACTAGGGGCGCAAATATGTGCAATTATATCGTTATCATAGAGCCTGATGGGGAGTGATAATGGTAGTAGTGTTTATCTTGTTTATGGTGGATGAACTTTGATTTTACACCCGGATAGTTGGATGTTATCATTTGAGAATTGTAAAACTAATGTGTTTAATTATGAGTTGACGATAATCCCATCTATGATTATCAGTGATTATATGTTGAACAAAATTATTGTCTTATCAATATTATCACAAAATTATTTATGTTACGCACCATACACCAAAATTATTGAAGAAAATGGTATCTCTCACAGATTTAATTTTAATTTTAAAATTTTTATAATTATTCTGATAGTTGATATACCGTCAATTTTTTAATTATAAATTAATTAATATATAAATATTAGTTCAATTAACAAGTTAATTCATTAAATACAGATATTAAACTTATTACACGGATTTTTCTATACTTACGATTCACCACCACATATAATTACATTCAAATGGAATTGAAAAAATCCACAGTCACACTACTCACACTTTTAGAATTTGAGGTAAAGAAAAAAAGTAGCACGTTCAAAAAAATGAACAGATTGAGGTGCATTTTCGGGTTTCGGGTTCTTGTACCTACCCAAACCCAATAAGTAGATTTTCGGGTTTCAGTTAACCGAAAACCGACCTTATCGGGTTCAGGTTCGGGTTTAGGCAAAACGGGTTTCGATTATCGGGTTCAGCAGTTTTCGGTTTCAGGTTACCCGACCCGAACGAAACCGACACGCCTAAGTAGGAGCAAAGGGAAGAGGGGATGGGAGCATTCGTGTCTAGATTTTGGGTTGTTTCCTGCAAAGTAGTACAAGATTGTTGCTTTGGGTTTCACGACGGTTGAGGATGCTGCTGCGGCATCACCCAATTATTTCGGCCCCAACCACACAACTCAGGGATGCTAGAGAGGGACAGAAGAGCTACGTCTCACCGTCGGTCGTCGCCATGGCCACCGTCTCCTCGTCATACTAAATGTGATTCAACTACTGCTCTACATAGTCTTTCCATCAGAAAGATTGCATCCAACTGTGTTGGTTTCCACTAAAATGAGCACATATTATAGATTGGAAAAAACGAATAACCTATGCAAGTTTCCACAGAGCACGATAGATAATTAAGTGACCACTAGCAATATATTGGTGGTTCTATGGCTGCTTCAGCACAACCCCATATTAGAAATATATTCAGTAAATGAGGTTGCTCAAGCATAAAAGATGCAACCCCACTACGTATTGGATTACCCATCTTTCAAGTTCAGTGCAGAAAGGTGATTGGTCTCAAGGAATTTCCGACTTCTATAAATTAGCCAAGCCATTCAAACAAGAATTCTCACCTCACCTTGCAAATCAAAGTGATTAGCCTGGAAAATAGTCATACATAGCCAAGGTTTAAGATTTTAGGTAGTATAGCATATGGCAATGATGAGTGCTTACCGTTTCCTTCTCTCTGCCTTTACCCTTCTTCTGGCTTTAGCTTCCTCCCCTGCCTCTGCATACGATCCTAGCCCTCTCCAGGACTTCTGTGTAGCAATAAATGAACCCGGCAATGGAGGTATAGATATATATATATATATATACCTTTCTTCCAAGTTTCATGGTGCCTAGTTTTAAGCTCTAGTAACTAACAAATCATTACTAATGTTGTGTATCTTCCCCAATCCAGAGTTTGTCAATGGGAAGTTCTGCAAGGACCCAAAGCTGGCAGCAGCAAACGATTTCTCATTCTCAGGGCTCAACATCCCTAGAAGCACGGCGAACAGAGTTGGGTCAAATGTCACTCTACTGAATGCTGACCAAATCCCGGGACTCAACACGATGGGCATTTCGATGGCCCGCATTGATTATGCACCAAATGGTGGCTTAAACCCACCTCACACTCATCCTCGAGCCACTGAGATTCTGCTTGTCCTTGAGGGAACACTTGCTGTGGGGTTTGTCACTTCTAACCCTGATAATCGGCTCATCACCAAAGTCTTGTACCCTGGAGACGTCTTTGTGTTCCCAATTGGCCTCATTCACTTCCAGCTCAACATTGGCCAGGCTAGTGCAGTTGCTGTTGCAGGTTTGAGCAGCCAGAACCCAGGAGCTATCACCATAGCAAACGCTGTGTTCGGATCTAACCCTCCCATTAATCCTGATGTTCTGGCAAAGGCCTTCCAACTGGACAAGAATATAGTCTATTATCTCCAGAAACAGTTTGGAGGGAGCGTTGGGCAGGGTCCATGGGACGACATGCCCTGAGAGAGAAGTGCAATATAATAATGGGCAGAAGTGCAATAAAAATGCCAAGACTGCTTCATCTTATCTTTCTTGTAAACTGAAACAACAATCAGTTAATAAATAAAGGGAGGAACATGGTTTTCTAAGAACTGAAAAAGCGATTTGTATCCTACAACTGCTGGAGTTTGGTAGGAACTGCCACTCTTGCAAGTGAAATAGAAACAAGGAATAAAGAGTCATAGTTGGAACATGAAAAAGAGAGAGGTGACCAGAACCTTTGCATTGTAGCTTTTGTAATGCCATATTTAAAAGCAGCTTTTTGTAATTCTCTCAAACTATTATCACTTTAAATTTCAAATAATAAATCAGCAGAAGAACTTATCCATGAGAGGTGGCCATTTCCACACAACTTTCACCTTCTTTGCATTGCCTTCCTTGTTTGCCTCGGCTGATGACTTCAATCCTCAGGGGGAGTTCTGCGATGCAATAAACATCCAATGGCAATGGAGCATGTAAATCCGGATCTCTCTAATACTTACCAATTTCTAAGAAACCTGCACGAATCTTCTTGTCTATGGCAGCCACACCTGATGAATAATAACAACTCTATTTATTATTTCCAGCAGATTCTGCCGATGGGGAACTCTGGAAAATTGAGCATGTGCCACAGCAGAAGATTTCTATTTCTCAGGACTGGATGTTGCCAGAAAGACTGACAACAAAGTAGGATCAACCATGACCCTTTTATCCACTAACCAGATTCCAGGACTTAATGGTTTGTCACTGGCAAGAACAGACTATGCACCAAATGGGGGCTTAAACCCACCACACATACATCCTCATGCTACAGAAGTCCTGACACTCCTGAGAGGCATCCTCCATGTCGGCTTTATCACTTCAAGTCCTGAAAATCGTCGTATTACCAAGACACTATAACCAGGAGATGTCTTAGTCTTCCCGATTGGTCTCATACGCTACCAGCTTAATACTGTCAATACTAATTACCATAGCAAATGCTATCTTTGGGTCTCATCCTCCAAATAATCCTGAAATCCTTGCCAAGGCATTCCAGCGGATATTGATACTATCAACTTTCTCCAACAGAGATTTTAGGGCAACCACTAGTTGCAGAAGCTATGTTCACAGTAACCATTTCTTCGCATGTCTATGGTGAACTTTATGATGAAATAAATAAAAGGTTGTTTACCGATGATTCTATTGATTGAGACCCAATTCTTCACAATCATCAACTTACATTTGTGAGCCTGCTTGCCACATGCAGCAATCAGACCGTCGAAAGAGAAACTTCCAACTGTTCTATCCTCTTAGCCAGATCATGCTTTCCAAAGTTCTTTAATCCATCAGCAACCAAATCGAAACATCTGGAAATAGGAGTCAAACCGATCTCAGTCATCTCTAGTAAATAATTGGCTGCCTCCAAATACCTACCACCACGCCCGCACATGGTTATCAACATTGTATAGACCGGTCTATTCGGAGGGTGGCCTTTAACCTTCATCTCACCAAAGAAACAAAATGCATCATCAAATTTCCCTATCCTGCAAAGTCCCTTAATTATTGGTGCATACAAACTGGGAAATGGCTTGTGCCCTTCTTCGATAGACCTATGCAATAGCTTAAAAGCTTCATTCATCTTACCAACCTTCGAAACTGCAGGAATCAAAATCTTATAGCTATTTATATCAGGACAAAATCCTAACTTGCATACACCATGATACATTTCAATGCAAAAATCAACCTCCCCTGATTGACAAATTGCTTCAACCAAAGAATTAAAAGTATTAACATCAGGAACAAAACTCTCTTCATTCATCTTCTTAACCATATCCTTTGCAGTCTCCAAATACCCTGCATTCAACAAACCTTCAATCAACAAATCCTTCCCTCTAACAGGAGGGTTAAATCCCTTCTGACTCATCTCATCCAAAAACTCCTGAGCCTCTTTAAATTTCCCACTAGAGCACCACCCATTGACAAGAACAGCGTAGGTCCGCTTGTTAGGAACCAAACCCTTTCTAACCATCCTCCTAATCAAAGCATAAGCTGCATGAAACATCTTGACTTCACATAAGGCGACAAGTAAGGAGTTGTAAACCTCAACCCCTTGATCACAATTCAAGCTATCGCACTTATTGAACACTTCAACTGCCTGGTCTGCGAGCCCACCTTTGCCGTACTCCTCGATAATAAAGCAGACAGTCTCAGCAGAAACGCAAAAAGCTCTCTCGTGTTCGGGGGTATTAACCATCCGTCGGCTCTGGTCTCTCATTTGTGTTATGAGTCGCCACATAGAAGCATACCTCTTGCCACGAGCGAGGGTTTTGATGAGCTCCTCGACCTCGATGGAGGTCGGGGTGTAGTGCCCTCTGGCCCAGGTGAAGAAGCGGATCGATTCCGTCGGGGAATTGGAGAGGGCACGGAGGACGCGGAAGACGAGCTCGGAGGTGACAGGGAGATTGAGCTTGTTGAGGGTACGCTCCGGGTAAATGTCGCGGCGGACTATGTTGGTTATCTGGTGGATTGCGGCGAAGTAGGCATCCTTGTTGGGTACTCCGGCGGCTGGGGTCATGGTTAGTGAGTTGAAGCGGCGGCAGGGGGGGCAGGTGGCGACGGTGGGGGTTGCTCTGTACAACAGCCCTGCGATAGAGCGGAGCATTTTCAGTTTGGTAGGAACTCTTTTTTTTTTTTTTTTACAGTTGTTTGGTAGGAACTAGAAGTACGATTTCAGTTCTCAATTCACAATCCTCCCAATAGTATATAGACGTTCCCCAGCTGAACATATGTAATTGTAAAATTGGAGGTTTCTGCTCAACTCAAGGAAGGTCTCGCCTGTCTTTTCCAACCAAGGCACCAAGCATTTTTAGCCTGCAATTCCGTTCCCTGCTTCAGTGTAGGGATGGCAATGGGGCGGGTTTGGGGCGGGTTTGCTAAAACCATCCCCATACCCATCTTCAAATACCCAAACCCATACCCGCCCCATACCCATGCGGGGAATGTTTTGCAAACCCATCCCCATACCCGTGGGTTTCGGGTACCCATGGGTAATACCCATACCCGTACATCCAACATTATTATATCTAAAACTTACAAGAAAAGTTCTAATTATAACTCTAAACGAACATATTATATCATGAAGTCGACAAAACACGGTCATTTTTTTAATATGGTTCAAAGATTATGATCCTAAAATGTCCATTAATACATAATATAGAGTATAATATTTTTCAAATTATTATGTTCTAACTCTGATACATCTACTAAATAATAATTAACTAACATAATCTTGTTGACAAGGGGGAAAGTGAAAGAGTGAAATGAGAATTGAGAGAAATGATTAGATTTTGATTAAGATGGTCACTCAATTGCATTTGTACTATTTATTTTCTCAAGTTATCATCATCGTCATTGATAGATTATAATTTGATGCACATATTTTTTTATATATGAAGAAATTATCTTGGTGGGGCGGGTATGGGGATGGGTATGGGGCGGGGGAGGCTAAAACCATACCCGCCCCATACCCATCAAACTTTTTGCAGGTTTTACCCATACCCGCCCCATACCCGGTCAAAGCGGGGATTCCCCGCGTTGACTGGGTCGGGGGCGGTCGGATACCCGCGGCCATGGGTTTGATTGCCATCCCTACTTCAGTGGGTATGGACTTGGGTTTGGCACTTTGGCCTCAATTTATTCCTTGGTCCTGTTTTCTATTCACACATTAAAAAAAATAGAAAATAATCCAAAACTTCAAATAGTAGCGGTCCTTTTGATTTTCGAAGCAAGCCAAGTTCAAGTATTAATCTCCAATTTCCAAAACATAAGGGCGGCTTAGGATAGGGTGAGTAACCCTTTGTTACTCACCCGTGAGTAACCACCTAGGAACCGTTGATCTGGGGCGGACAGATCGTGTGGCTGTCATTGAAGCGGGATGGTCAAGGGCATTTTTGTCCGTTATTTGAATTAATGAGTTTCCCCTTTTGTCCGTTGCGAATCTTTCTGTGCGCGAGTTGGATTCGGATTTTGGAGAGAGAAACTACGAGCAGGGGAGCAGCAGCTGAGAAACAAGGACGCGATTCTCCATGGTTGATCGACGGCGATAGAAACTGCGAGCAGCAGCTTCGAATCGAGCTTTCTGATTCTCCATAATTGATCGACGTGTGCGCGAGTTGGATTCGGATTTTGGAGAGAGAAACTGCGAGCAGGGGAGCAGCAGCTGAGAAACAAGGACGGCGATTCTCCATGGTTGATCGACGGCGATAGAAACTGCGAGCAGCAGCTTCGAATCGAGCTTTCTGATTCTCCATAATTGATCGACGTGTGCGCGAGTTGGATTCGGTTTTTGTAGAGAGAAACTGCGAGCAGCCGCTGCGAAACAGGGGACGGCGAATCTTTTTTGATTCTCCATAATTGACCGACGACGAGGTTAGATATTAGTTTTTTTTATTCTTCCTGTTTAGCTAATCGAGTTTTCTGTTGATCTCTGGTTTCGTTGGAGGTTTTTCATTGCTGCTAGTCGAGCTTGTTTATGTTTAGCTAATCGAGCTTGTTCATGTGTTATGTTCTTTGTGTTTTGGTGTTTTTGCAGTATTCTGGTGAGATGAGTTACGTAAATTGTGGCGATGTTGTTCCAATTGATAGATCTGGTTCTTCAACCAGCGTTGTAGGATCTGGTTCTTCATCTAGTGCTGTTGGAATTGCTTCTTCATCTATCGATCTTGGATTTGATCATTCAGCTAACTCTGGTGAATCAGGAGGTAAGATATACAAATTTGTTTGTTTATTGAAGTTTGTATAGTGTCGTAATTTGATTTTACCATGCCTTATCATGTGGTAATTGATTTTACAGTACATTACCATGTGGTAAAATGTGGTAATTAGGAAGTTAAATGTGATGGTTCTGTGTGATAATTGATTTTACCATGCAATACCATATGGTCTAGTGTGGTAATTTGATTTTACCATGCCTTATCATGTGGTAATTGATTTTACAGTACATTACCATGTGGTAAAATATGGTAATTAGGAAGTTAAATGTGAGGATTCTGTGTGATAATTGATTTTACCATGACATACCATATGGTATAGCGTGGTAGTTTGATTTTACCATGCCATACCATATGGTATAGTGTGGTAATTTGATTTTACCATCCCTTATCATGTGGTAATTGATTTTACAGTACATTACCATGTGGTAAAATGTGGTAATTAGGAAGTTAAATGTGAGGGTTATGTGTGATAATTGATTTTACCATGCCATACCATATGGTATAGTGTGGTAGTTTCATTTTACCATGCCATACCATATGGTATAGTGTGGTAATTTGATTTTACCTTGCCATACCATGTGGTATAGTGTTGTAGTTTGATTTTACCATGCCATACCATATGGTATAGTGTGGTAATTTGATTTTACCATGCCATACCATGGTGGTAACTCTTGTATCATGGCTGTAATTATTGGTATACATTGAGATTTCATATTGTTGTGGTGTGGAATCCATTTAATATGTTGTTTCATAATGTTTGTAGGTTTCAATGGTATAGCTCCTACTGTTCGTGATTCTTGGAAGGACTTAGAGTTCAATACACCAGATGATGCATATAATTTTTATGTTGATTATGGGAATCATGAAGGTTTTGGTGTGAGGATTTATAACCAATCACCGTGTCCGAAGCTCAATGGTGGTTCTTCAGCTGTATATTATATCAAGTATTGTTGCAATAAGGAAGGTTGGAAAAGAGGTAGCGAGAATAACCCTGATAATGCAGGTGTTGTTGATACGACAGTTTGTGTTCGTAATGTTCTAGAACTCAGGGGTGGATGTAATGGTGCTTATATACAACTGAGGTGGTTTAAAGAGTTTAAATGCTACAAGATCTATCGTTGGTATAATGTGCACAACCATGACATGATTCCTGAGTCTCTGCGTCACTATGTGAGATCCAGCAGATGAATGGCTCCTGTGTATAAGATGTTGGCAGAGGTGAATGATGCTGCTGGTATTGGTGTGACTTCTTCGTATAATGCAATTAGTAGGGCTGGTGGTGGTCGGAAGTTTGTTGGGTTCACAAAGAATGATTTGAAGAACCATCTGCGAACGGTTAGGACGTTATCAATGGAGTATGGTGATGCGACTGCATTGCTTGAATACTTTAGACGTCAAGCACAGCTGGATCCTGGGTTCTTTCATGAGGTGGAGGTTGATGTTGAAGAGAACATTGCTAGTATTTTTTGGGCAGATGGGAAGATGAGGATGGATTATCATTATTTTGGTGATTCAATTAGTTTTGATACTACTTACCGGACTAACAAAGAGTATCGGCCACTAGGTATGTTTTCTAGTTTGTTGTTTATTATTGTCTTTGTTAGTTTGTATGATTATTATTATTATCATTATGTATCATGTTTTTTTTTTGTTCTTACAAGTCTGTACCATATGGTATGGGTTGGTATGGATTGCTTTTTTGTTCTTAAAAGTATTTTACCATATGGTATGTGTTGGTAACAAGGTTATTTGAGGTGGTTTTTGGGTTGTTAGAAGTTTGTACTATATGGTATGGGCTGGTATGCATTGTGTTTTTGTTCTTAAAAGTGTTTTACCATATGGTATGGGTTGGTAACAAGGTTATTTGTGGTGGTTTTTGCGTTGTTAGAAGTGTGTACTATATGGTAGTCTGGTATGGATTGTTTTTTTTTGTTCTTAGAAGTCTTTACCACATGGTATGAGTCTTTACCATATGGTATGGGTTGGTATTATTGTTATTCGTACCTTTTACCACATGGTATGTGTTGGTAGAATTGTTTTTACTCACATTTTGTTATGTTTTTGTAGCTTTGTTTGTTGGTTTCAACAATCATCACCAACTGACTGTCTTTGCGGCTGCTCTTCTATATGATGAAACAACAGCAACATTTGAATGGCTTTTCGATCAGTTTTTGAAATGCATGGGAGGTGTGAGACCGTTATTAATGTTTACTGACCAGGCTGCTGCAATTGCTGCTGGTATAAGGTCTGTTTTCCCATATTGTTTTCATGGGTTGTGTACATGGCATATTGCTCAGAATGAAGTTGTTAATCTGGGAAGTTTGTGTGACTCTGACTTCCTTCGTGAGCTTAGTTATTTGATGTATAATGCTGGTGATGAGGATGATTTTGAGTATAATTGGAAGAAGATGATTGAGAAGTGTTTTCCTGGGAAGGGACCTTTGGGACACAGTTGGTTACAGGGCATTTACAAAGTCAGGACGAAGTGGTCTTCAGCCTGGGTGAATTGTCATTTTGGTGCGGGAATGAAGAGTACCCAGCTAAGTGAGTGCTGCAATAGTAATATTCGACATTACTTGCAGTCAGAGTTTAGCGTTAGTAGGTTCTTTGTGCACTTTGAGAGGATGCTTGATAATAAGAGGGATGCTGAAGAACAGGAAGAGTACTACGCCTTATCTAGGTTGGCTGATTCTCGGTTTTCTACTAGCCCTATTGTGAAGCAAGTTGCTAATGTGTATACGCCGAAGATATTCAAGTTTTTCCTGGATCAGTACAAGGAATCTCTTGCGTATAATATTTTTTCCAATACGGAGATAGAACCAGAAGGACATGTAGGACTGTTTGATGTCTTCATATTGGAGGATGACCTTACAAGGTTGGATAGTAGGGTGTTGAAGGTTGATTTTGAAAACGGTGAAATCAAGTGTTCCTGCCGTAAGTGGGAGTCAAGTGGTATGATCTGTA